CTGCAAGCTTTAAATTTATACTCAAGCTCATTTTACAAGTATTTTCACAAGTTCTAACAAGGAATTTCTTACGTTAGGTGCATTAATCAATGCTTTGTATACAGTCGCTTTTTTTTCTGTCTACGTGAGGTATGTTTCCTCTGTTTGAGGGTTCAGGTACTCACACAAATAAACAAAAGGCCATAAATTCTTTACTTAATTTAAAAAAAAATGTTTTGTGTCTGTCACTCTTTTCAGTTCTTCTTGTATCCATCTCAGTTTCCCTCAATTAATTTCAAAACACAGTATTGTCTTAAACTTGTCAGTGTCATCGAACTATTGTGATAATAATAAGTTATGTGGATTGGAGCAAAAAAGATGCATCATCACTGGATTAAGTCACAACATGGAGTAGGGCAGAAGAAGAGGGCAAAGTGTGCAGGAATCTGCTGGAAGCTGCATCAGTCATTCAGATAGTAACTCATATGTCTGGAGAATTCTGGGCTGGAAAGAGATTGCCACAGTTAGAAGAGGGACTTTGCTTTGAAATATTTAGATCCAAAATGTAATGTGGTATTCTTTTTGCCTGAGTTGTTTCCTAGGCTCTCTTATTACCTCTTGATCTTTTATTGTGTTCGCTGTTTTACATACCTTTCTTACTGATCTCTGTGTACATTTTTTTTTCTCTAGTGCTCCCAGCCATTTTCACCTTCACCAAGTCACCAGTCAAAATCAAATTGTTGGTTACTTTGCATGTGTCTATTCAACAGTACAGTGCAACTGGTACCTAGTTTTTTAGGATGGAAGACATACGATTTTGACCAGGTTAACAATGTCTGGGTAAAAAAGTGGCTGGTCCTTTGGGGCCAAAGGGTAGTGTCAACAGTTCAGAGTCTAAATTTACAATTACAGGTGGCCAGTTTACAAGCAGTGTTTCACAGCAGTCAGTAGCAAGGGCTGATACCCCATAGTATTTTCATCAACAGCCACGAGGATAGGTTGGAATGCCCTCTCAGGTTCACAGATGACCACAGACTGGAAGGAGGAGTTGACTGGAATTCCAGTTGGAGAAGGGGCCTGGCAGAAGTTTCATGAAGTTCAACAAAGTTTAACCTTGGGACAGAAGGCTGAGAAACAGCTTGGTGA